ATAGAATTATGAGCTACTTAAATTCTACTAACCTGCAAGTGCTTTAGAACTGTAACTGGCTTCTGTTTTCTATTTCTTAGATTAACTTGGTTCCCAGTGAGTTCTTGAAGAAAAAAAAAAAAAAGAAAGAAAGAAAGAAAGAAAGAAAATAGAAACATTTAAACTTCTGCTGTTGTCCTTTCTTGTTATAGAAGAAAATGTCATAGCCTTAGAAAGGTCCTAGTTTGCTGAAGTATGACCTATGTATGCTGTGCTCAACAACAGTGTGAAGATTTCTCTAAACAGGAAAAGTTTGAACTTCTTAATTTTGATTGGGATGTGCACTGGTTTTGAGTTGTTACTGTTTCTAGTTCTGTTACTGGGAAGCTCAGAAAGTCTTAGCTCAGTGTTTTATCTCCTCTGCCTTAATTCATCAGTTTAATTCGCTAGTGGAGCTTGTGTGAAGAGATTCATTTTGGAGGACTAGCAAGTTAATATTTGCCATTTCTTGTCTCAAGTGAGACACTGTCCTCTGTGTGCCTTTTGCAAGCAAACATTGACAGACTTAGAGGATATGCAGCTGACGTTAGAAAGCTTGGGTGGGGACTACAGGGAGCTGGCAAATACTACAGGATTTAGTGCCAGGCTTGCTGACACAACAGTACTTTGCTTGTAAAAGTTTTCTTTAGGTGGCTAATTCTGTCTTCAAAGTAACTGGAACTGAAGCAGTGTCTCTAATGCCAAGTTAATATAGCAAAAGGAACAACTTGTAGGAAATTGAGAATGTTCTTATTACTAACTATTTCTGAAGATTTGAGTTGTGGAAAGAAACCAGCAAACTCCTCTCATCCTGAAAGGATGAATTATGAACAGTGTCATAGAGTGAATGCACTGCAGAACAAATTCCATCGAACTGTAGAGTGTCATAAACAGCTTGAAGAAGGAAAAGCTAGCTGTGCTGTGTAGAATGCATGTAAATATTGAGCTCTGTCTGTTTTATATCACAGTATCTGTTTGATTCACAAGTTTATAGCCGTGTTTCCTAAGGCACATTTTTAATAGCTTCCCTTAACCTTCACATAAAAATTCCTAACATCAAGTATAGTTAGACATTGAGAAATGATATATTCTCAAATGAGAACAGTTGCTGTAGTTTATTTACCACATCACCTTAAGTATAAAGTGTTTTGGCTTGAATCTACAATACTTCTGGTCCTCATAAAAGCCTAGGGGCTAATAAAGCTTTCAAGGGATGTGAAAATCCAGCTTCTGTTTGTTTTGCAGAAGGTTAGGTAGAAAATATCCCTCGCTGTCTCCAGTTCTGTATGTGTAGAGGGTTTTGGGGTAACGTTATAGAGCAGAGCCTTTGAGTGGTCAGGTGGTGGTGGTGGAAGTACGTCTACGCCTGACTTAAAAGGCATAGAAACTGGTGTGATCTTGGTGAAAGTATGCTGCCTGATTATATGAGCATATCAATATTTTTTGGATTTCAGTATCACTTGTAGATTTTTCAGAAGAACTTTCGTCCCTTTCCGGGAGTGCCTGAAATACTGAATAGTTTCAGAATAAGTGTGGGGAGAAATAGGAGTCAGAAGGTGAATTTAATCTGTTTTGCAGCTTCACTGCAGTATGCCATGCTATGTTAGCTTAAATATTCATAGAATCATGGAATTGTCTGAGTTTGAAGAGACCTTTAAAGGTCTAGTCCAACCCCTCTGCAATAAGCAGAGACATCTGCAGTTAGATCAAATTGTTCAGAGCTCCATCCAGCCTGAGCTCGAGCTCCTCCACATATGGGGTACCCACCACATCTCTGGGCAACCTGTTCCAGTGCTTCACTACCCCTATCATAAGAAAAAAATGAAAGCTTTTCTCATACATCCAATCTAAATCTCCCCTCTTTAAGTTTGAAACCATTTCTCCTTGTCCTATCACCACGGACCCTGCTAAAGAGTCTGTCCCTTCCTTTCTTACATCTCCCACTTAAGATACTGGAAGGCGGCTATCAGGTTTTCCTGGAGGCTTTTCTTCTCCAGTCTGAAAAGCTCCTTCAGACTGTCCTCTGAAGAGCTCTCAGATTGTTCTCACAGGACGGGGGGTAGGGGGGAAGGTGTTCCATCCCTGGGATGATTTTTGCGGCCCTCTTCTGGATGCACTCCAACAGGTCTATGTCTCCTCTACTGAGGACTCCACATCTGGATGCAGTACTCCAGGTGAGGCTTTACCTGTGCAGAGTAGAGGAGCAGGATCACCTTCCTTGACCTATTGGCCATGCTTTTGATTCAGCCTGGGATATAGTTGGCTTCCAGGGTTGTGAGGACACATTGCTGGATCATGTCCAGCTTGCAGTCTACAGTCCTTCGAGATTTTTGGCAGGACTGTATGCAATCTTTTCATCCCCCAGCCTTTATTGATAATAGGGATTGCCACAACCCAGGAGCAAAATTTTGTACTTGGCAGAATTGTTTAATTTTGAGTTGAAGAAAGTTGTCTCAAGTGATGCTTATGCAAAGCAGCTTTGTTCACTAAACCTGTTGCTGCTGTGGTTGCTGTGATATTGGGGAGCAGTGGAGCATTCTCTTGCTGCATCAACAGCACAATACTTCTAGAACAGGGTATAGTAGCTTCCAGACAGGCTTGTCATGTTTGCATCTGAGCACCTTACCTGAAGAAACTTGCAATTTTATTTTTGGGAAAGGGTAAAGGACTTGATTTACAAGAAAAGATTTAAGATTGCAATGTAAATAGCTTAGTTAAGTAATGTTTAGAAGATTCCGAGAGGAAAAGAGAATGTTTTAGTGTGAAAGACTTGGTAAAATGTAGAGGATTAAATGCAAATAAAAAGCATGATTAGAAAATGCTAAGTCCAGGGAGGGCTTGTGGTGGATGGAGTGAATCTTTCCAACGAAGAAACCTGGTTGCTTGGCATTTTTAAAATTAAGCTGAGGACAATATGTGAGTGGGTATTGGGAAAATTCTTTCAATTTAACAAAGATGTGCTTCTGTTTCTGTTGAGGGCATGACTGTGAAAGAACCTTCTCTGTGTTGTGAAATTACAAACTGATCTAGTGTCATGGAGTAAAGAAGAGCAAGTCTGATGTATTGACAGTTCTACTTTCTTTGAGCTGCAACACTCCCTAACACAGAAAAAAAAAAATGTCATGCTGATGAAGGCAGCATTTTTTTCTCTTCCTTGTGAAACACAATTGTTACATGAATTAGGGGCTTGGACTCGATGATCTCTAGAGGTCCCCTCCAACCCATACAACTCTGTGATTCTCCTGGGTCCACTGCTCAAGCCTGTCTATATTATTGCCCCTTTAAGATAAGGTCCTGCATTCTTTTCTCCCACAAAAGTAAAATTTCAGTAGGAGTTTGAAGCTGCTTTATCTAGAGCACCTGGATGGCAGTATCTTGTACATGTGGAAGGCTCTGTCTTCTCCTGCCCTCAGAGTAGTAGGTTGCCTCTGGTCTTCTGTTGCCTGATTACTAAGGTGAAGTGAAATATAAATAATACAGGAATAGAAGTAAAGATTGTTTTAAATCATGGAGGTCTTTTTTTGCATGAACTACTGCTATAAATAGTCTAAAGCTGATTAAACAGAGAACACTTTTGTAGTCTTTGGTAATCTCTGTCATCAGTTCAACTCTGCAGTGCAGTGATGTCTTTCAGATCAACATTTGGCTTCCTGAGGACTAGCACTTAAAACGTTGCTTTGAAGTTTACAAAATTTAAAGTGGTGCATTTGAAAGCCTGTATAGCAAATTTCCATGCTGTCCATGGGTTGACCATATCAAGGGACACTGCAATCTATGGTTTGTTGGGGTTTTTCTTTGACTGGTCTGCTCACATCTCTTTGAGTGTTCTATATAATATTGCAAGCGTTTACTCTTTTTTATTTTATTTTTTTTTTTTGCCTAATCACTCCTGAATTGCTACCTGTATCATTTTCTCTCAGAGTATGTTAAAGTATCTCTAAATTCTTGTAATGAACAAATCCCGGGTTTAAAAGTGTGGATATACCAAGCAAGGTGTGTGTGTCTTAACCCAGTAGAAGGGGCTTGGAGGATGTGTTTGGGGTAGAGAGGCTTTTTTAACAAATTTTGGAGAATGTTAAGTCTACTTTGGTCACTCAGCCTTGTTAAATAAAGGAGAGTCAGCTGGCTGTAATGGTGACCATTTGTTAATAGGTGAGGGGTTTCTTGGTCGGATGGAAATTGTGCACTATCACTGAAGTGATCTGGAGAGTGTCCAAGATTTAAACAACTTGATTGCTCATATTCTCTGTAGCTTGCTTAAGCATTTCTGTTTACAGATGTGTAAAGTCAGCTATTTGTTGCGTAGTGGGATTGCACTTCCTGTAGGTCAGCTGAATTCTTCGGAACAGAGTCAAATTTTTTTAATATAAAGTCTGTAGACTTTGCTGATAATAGCTGGCAATGAATACATGTGCAAAGTTGAAGAGAATTCTTGGAGAAAAAAGGCTCCAGGGAGGCCTCACTGTGGCCTTCCAGTACTTAAAGGGAGTATGCAAACTGGAGAAGGAACGATTGTTTACAGGGATTGATAGTGATAGGACAAGGGGGAATGGTTTTTAACTGAGATGGGAGATTTAGGTTAGATATTAGGAGGAATTCTTTCACTCAGGGGGTGATGACACACTGAAACAGGCTGTCCAGGGAGGTTGTGGATGCCCTGTCCCTGGAGGCATTCTATAAGGTTAGCTGTTGTATTAAGTATTCTGGACTTTGTTCTTCATCTTTTTTTTTTTTTTTTTTTTTTTCCATTATCTGACATGAAGTGGAATGTAAGAATGGCTAGTTATCTATTGCAACTTTCATGCTTACTTTTCAGAAGTGAGCACTATCATCAACTTAGAGTGAATGTGAAATTTCTGTAGAGCTTATGGGCAAACATGCCTTGACTTCAGAATGTTTTTTTCAGGAGTATAGCAGCTGACACTAGCTTTCTTGGACACAGATACAGTTTGAGTATTACTCTTTTTTTTTCTTTTTTTCAGATGGAGCAATTATCAGATGAAGAGCTTGACCATGGTGCAGAAGAAGACAGTGATAAGGAAGATCAGGATCTGGACAAGATGTTTGGGGCCTGGCTAGGAGAACTGGACAAACTCACACAGGTTGGGGAGGTTTCAGTCATGTCATAGAATAATTATAAATAATTATCACATGTTTATTTTCATTTGAAAGCTAACTACTTTAACCTTAACGAGGATCTTTTTGAACACTTCAGGTGAGTATGAATTAAGACTTTTAGCTGTGGTGCTTTGTCAGGGTCAAGTATATATCCTTAGCTGTTTTGTTGTGTGTGGATAGAAGATGCCTCTCTTCTCAGTTCATTAGCACTACCACTTGGAGCAAGACTAGATGTAGCATATGACCAACTCAGTGTTCTTAAAAGAGTACTGAATTAACTTATTTTCCCCATTTCCAAGTTGTTAAATTTGTTTTTCACAACCTGATAGTTATACCACTCCCGAAGGGTACAATCCATTTGGAAAACTATGGAATTGATCTTTTGTCCTCATGTACATAGAGAAACACAGACTTCAGCTGGCTAATGCTAGGCTGTATCTCCAAACACACAGTTGGGCATTGTCTAGTGGCAATGTAATTGAATCTATTTGTTGCACCTGAACAGCAGTAAGGAACAAGAAAGTGTGAATGATGTCAATGATGATGTGCTAAGGTCACCTGATACACCCTAGAGGACCATTATTCCAGAGTGCTTTTCCAGCATCAGAGTGGCAGCTAACAGGACACCTTTTGGCATTTTTTTTTAGTGCTTTTTGTTTTCTTCTCAAGCAAATCTTACTTTTTGCACGGTATGACAGAGTTCCAAGACAAAAGTCCATTTCTCTGTGATCTCCTGCTTTGTTTTTTCCAGCCATGTGTGCTGGCTCTCCTGAACAGTATAATTCATTTTCTCATTCTTTGTATAGATTTTAAGTAATGATGTGATGCTCCAAGTTTCAATAAGCTAGATGGGAAGAGGCTTCTCTCATCACTTCGTTACTGTATGCCTGGGGGAAAAGGAAGAATCTTCATCTTATGAGAAGACTGACATAAAATGGAGTTAATCATACAACAGAACATTTCAGATTCAGTCTCATGCATGTTATCTTTGGTTTAAAGGACTATCTGCAAGTTCTAAATGCAGATGGCCTTTTAAAATACGGGAAAATGGGGCAATAAGGAATCCTACCTTTCTAAATGAATAGAAGATAACCTGTAATAAGTCTAAATATCATAATTCTTATTGTCTTTAACTCCCTGTGAAAGATTTTTAATGGTGAGAGTCCTTTCAAAGACCCTATGCCTTCAGATTGCCTCTAATGGGGATCTTCATGTAGGAGCACAATTGGTAATTAGCATTAGATTTTTGTTCTTGGTTTCACTTCAGCAAATATGAGTAACTTTCAAATATGTGTGTCTTACTTAGGGCTCGCAGCTGTACATTTAATATACAGGCTTTCTGCTGATACCTGAATTTGCATCCTAATCCATGCAGAATGCTTAAAAGCTGTTTCTCACTTATGTACTGCTATGCAACACAGTCTACAGTTTAGCCATTCAGTTGAACTTCTGTCTTTTGTAACTACTGAGAAGTGACATTTCCCCCAGAACTTTGAATAACCTCATAATATTTTGTATAAACAAGTTAATGCAGTCTGTTGTGTCTCAGATTGCTTGTTTGGTAAATAGTTATGTCTTGATTCAGCTGAAGACCCAGTAAAGGGGCGTGATTAAATTTAATGAGCTCCAAAGAGCGTTCTGGTGTAGTTTTAGCAGTTGTTGCTGTTTATCAGCAGCACTCTGAAAACAGTGGGAGAAGAATTTTGTCCCCAAGTTCCTTGAACTTGTAACTTCTTTTTCAAATTTTCTACTTCTGTGTATTTGTTTTGGGAAGATTGAAAGTAAGACCTAGATTCCTTTCCAGACAGGAATTCTTTGTTAAAAGATATGAAATTGTTAAGATGCCTTTGAGATAATTTGAATTCACTTTGCCCTTTTTAACCCTTTGCCTAGTAAAAGCATTATAAAATGCAACCATGAAATTTTCAACACATGTCGGCAGTGTCTGCATTAGCAATTGGTGTCTGGTTACCCTGTTCAATGAAGTAAGTATTCTCATTTTCCAGAACTAGTCTTTTAGTGCTGTTTCAGTTCTCAGCAGCTTCCAAAAATGAAATTTTGCATTATTAATTATGGAGATTGTTCTCTAATAATAGAAGGGCTATTCCGAAACTAATGCCTCCTATTTCATTATGTTGGTCCACAATGTCAGAGGTGGATGTTGGTAGTATGGTGGTCGGGTTGAACCTTCCCACCAGTATTCAGTTACATTTTGTTGTTGTGTAGCAGATGGCAGCCTTACAAAATGGTGTCTGACATGGAAGTGCGTATGAAACAAAGGTGTGTTGTTGAACTCTTCCATGCAGGAAAAAGTGGCATCCATAGACATTTGTCCATTTTTGCTGAATGTTTATGGAGACCAAGCAGTGGATGTGTGCGCAGTGAGGCAGTGGGGGCTGCATTTCAGCAGTGATGTAAATGACATGAAAAATAAGTGATGTTCCAGACAGCTGAGGAGATTTTTACAAGCACAGCATGCAGGTTTCTGTTGGTTGCTGGTTTTAAAAAAAAAAAAAAAAAAACAAAAAACAAAAACCAACAACAACAACAAAAAAACCAACAACAACAAAAAAACTTGCACAGCTAAGAGTGGTGACTGTTTTGAAAAACAGTGTTCAGTAGCCAAGAATTTACTTGATCAAATAGTGTTATTGTGCTCTTTACTTTCATGGAAATAAATAGGAGGCATTATATTTGGAGTGATCTACATAGTAAGAGTATATCCGAGTTATTTCAAAGGATAGAATCATACAATGGTTTGGGTTGGAAGGAGCCTTTAAGATCATCTAGTTCCAATGCCCTGCTATAGGCAGGGATACCTCCCTCTAGCCCAGGTTGCTCACAGCCCCATCTTGCTGGGCCTTGAATGCTCCCGTGAAGGGGACATCCACAACCCTGTGTACTAACATAATTGTTCTTAAATTTAATAAAACATACTTTAGATGTTTTTATCCAGAATATGTTTGCTTTGCAGGCAATCTCTTGGCTCAGTTGAAAGGAATGATCCCTAATGTGCCTGCTTTGTTTCAAGTTTTCTTTGCTGCCTGTAGGGTTTTAATCTGATATTTTTCAACAGTTCTGTATGGAATGATATATGAACTCCACTAGAGCTGTTTTTTCCACATAATAGAAAATAGTTCTGGATCACTGCCTTGTGATCATTAACTGATGACTGCCTTCCTTAAGCAAGGACACAGAAAATAAAAAAAGTGTGGATAAAAAACTTAAAACTTTTTGTGCTAGAAGATGCTCTTCTTTTAGACAAACGTGTATTTGGGAAAGCTTTATTATTAGAAGTGTTGCTTTTATTCACACCCTCTGCAGGCCTGTCAAGCAACGCCAGGAGCTAGAATCACCACATAGCACTTCTCACTCTGCAGGTGTCATGCAACTTTTGGTTTTATCCATTGGATCATAGTGCCCTACTGCTTGCTTCTTACTGCTGCTGATTAACTGCAAAGTTCTATGTCCGTTAATGGTCTTTTGATTTCATGTTTTGTGGTTTGTTTGTTTTTTTTTTTAATCCCTTACTAGATGTTTTGTTGGTTTTTTTTTGTTTGGTTGGTTGGTTTTTTGTTTGTTGTTTTTTTGTTTTTGCATATATATTTTTTTAAAAACACTATCATATTTGGGAGGGGGTCACTTTCACAACTCCATGTTTTTCACAGAAAAGACTTATGAGAAAAATACCTAAATTTAGTAATTAAAAATCTTTTTTATAAAAAAGGAGTTCTCCATTGAGCGCTTTTCTGTGCTTATACCACAGATATGCTCATAATCAAAGGACGCATTTCTTAGGGTGTCACAGTTTGCATGTGTTTAACTCCTGCACTACTCTCTGCAGAGTAGTTGTTACGGATAAATCAGCTGTGTTACGTATTAGCTCATTTTGAAACACAGCTGAAACATGCATTCAGAATTTGTTCCCTTTTAAATCAGTACCAAGAAAGATTAATATCTTTTCTGCAGCTAAGTCTTTGTGATGTAGTGACATGTTTTTTAGTCAAAATCCTGGAAAAAAAAAACAAACAATCATGCTTTTGATATGCCAGGAGCATATCAAATTGGTTATAGAGAAAATTTATTTTCATCAACCTTGAGGATTTCTTTGTCAAATTATATTCTCCACCTTTTCTTATCTTTTTCAGAGTTTGGATTCAGACAAGCCTGTGGCACCAGTGAAGAGATCACCTCTCCATCAAGAAACCAACCTTGCCAACTTCTCATATCGTTTCTCCATGTACAATTTGAATGGTTCGTTGACTTATTTACCTTCCAAAGTATTATTTTAGGAAAAAAAAAAAAAAAAAAAGTTGTTTAACCATAAATGAGAACATTCTGAAATGGTTTCAAAGAATGTTAAAATACACTGTAGCTAGAAGTGAGAATGTGTTTGATAACAGCCTTGCTTTCTTATGGCAGAGAACTTTGAATGTTCTCCAACCTTGTCTTTTATAGCACCTGGTATCTAAGAGTTGTAGTCCGATATTTATAAAGAAAACTTGTACTGGGATCTGGCCTCGTGAAAAAAGGAATTAATATGTATTGTAATAAGTTGTAATACAGGAAGCTTGTAATTTAGAGTTTAAGTGTGTGTATAGTATTTTTTTAGTGTCGTGGGTTGGTTTTTTGTTTTTGTTTTTAAAGTAATGTCACATTTGCCTAGCAATACTCATTTCATTGAGAAGCTGAAGCATGATGTATACATTTTTAAATTCTGTTTACAGCAGAGCAGTTTCAACCTTTCAAATGTAACTAAAAAATCATGAGTTTCTCCTATCAGAAAGTATATTTACCCTATATATATATTTTTTTCTTTTAGATCAGTCAAGAGTACTAGTGCAAATAAACTTAGTGTTTATCAGTGAGGACAGGTTTTGCAATATAGGTGGGAAAATACAGCTTCCTTGGCTCTTGTCTTTCAGCTATTGAATTCAGTAACATAAAATGAAGAGTTGCTTAGAGAAATAAAGCAACCCTGCTCATACTAAAAACTCTTCTTCATTGCAGAAGCTCTTAATCAGGGGGAGACTGTGGATCTAGATGCACTCATGGCTGATCTCTGCTCCATAGAGCAGGAACTCAGCAGCATTGGGTCTCATTCAGCAAATAATACTGCAGTGAAACGCCTTGCCACAGAATCCAAAGTTCAGAAACCACCTAGTAGCCGTCCTTCTACTAAGCATGGCAGTATGAAAGGATTATCCTCTTCATCTGGTAAGGTTACTAAACCATCACATGCCAACGTTTCTTTGGATGACATCACTGCACAATTAGAGAAAGCTTCTTTGAGCATGGATGAGGCAGCCCAGCAGTCTGTAGCAGAAGATGCCAAACCAGTAGTTAATGCCCAGCACAGGAGGACAGCATCTGCTGGCACAGTGAGTGATGCTGAGGTGCGCTCAATCAGTAACTCCTCCCGTTCCAGCATAACTTCTGCAGCTTCCAGCATGGACTCTTTGGATATCGATAAGGTGACAAGACCTCAAGAACTGGACTTAACATCACAAGGGCAACCAATCACCGAGGTAATGTCATTAATTTAATAATTCTTTTGGTGTTTTTTCTTCAAGTATTTTTTTTCTTCTTTTTCTCCCCCCTTTCTTTTAGGCTGATACTCCCTGCTAAACATGTTCCATACAACAAAACTGATTACAGATCAGGATTGCTTGCACATGGGCTACACACTGTGGCTTTTTTTTTTTTTTTTTTTTTAGCTTTTGTCTATCTGCAAGGAATCTTAATGTAAAAGGTGTTGTTGTAGTTCTTTTTATTTTTTTTCCAAGAACTTTCCTCATCTTTTCATCTTCCATATCAACTCATGTGTTTTAATGTTTTATATGTAATGTTTTTCTTTTAAGTAAATCCTATATGCTGCTTTTAAATTTAAATCTAAGAAGTATACAGCTTTGAAAAAGGGAATGAAAAGTTGAAGGACATTACTACAGTTGTGTTACTGTATGCTTTCAGACTACTGCATGTGTGACGCATACTGTGAATGGAGCTGTAACAACAGTTCACCACTTCTTAATATTCCTCTTAAATGTGTGGCAAGGAGGACTCTTCCAAACAATGCCCAACACAGAAAACCAATTGGTTCATGGTAGAGCAGTACCAAATTTGAGGTTTGTTTGTGTGCATTGGTTAATAATAATCAGACAGCAATTTTTTTTTCCTCAGTAAAAGCAGAGTAAGTTTGAGAAATGTTTGAGAAGTGCTGGTGTGTTACATGAGAAATGGAACATTTTCCATTGAATTTCAGAATTTAAGGAGAAACAAAAACCTGACTTATTAGTCAAAAGACAGCTGTACTAAAACAAATGTTCACTTTCAGTTTTCTCTCTACAAAAAGACAAGTGGAATAAGCTAAGTTCACCAAATCAATAATAAACACTAATTTGAATGAATTGCGCTTAAACCACGTCTTTATACATCTGCACCAAAATTTCAGCTGATGCAAAGAGTGAGTGATGCAGACTTATCAGTTTCATGATAACTCATCAAGGTGATACTTCAAATTTTTATTTGAAATGGTGAGAAATGTGTTACAGCTTCTTACAGAAAAAGCTGATTATCAGTATTTTCTATTATTTTTGGATTTGTATTGAGCGTAGAAAAACAGAGGTAGATAGAAATGTGTTCTTTTCTCTTTCGAAAGTTGAAATGCAAACCTTTTCAATATTGCTGTAGATTAGAGCCCAGCTTGTGACAGTCTGATTGTATTGGTTTTCATTTGTCAGTCATCTTGTTTCTGTGATACAAGGCTTACTTTTCTTTTGGATTCCTGACAGTCATGCTGACAGTCATGGAGATATCTCTTTTAATGATTAACTTCATATGATAATGCACTCTCCTTGAGCTAAAATGACTTTTCTATTTCTTGAGTTCCTCTCTTCAGTGAGTTGCATGGTATAAAAAAATCTTTATTTCACTTATTAAAAATTTAAGCTGTTCTTGGTAGTTGATTTTTTGCAGGTATCAGTCTAGATATCAGCCTCTCTTTTTTAAGAAGTGATATGCTGAGGCATCAATAAGGTTACCCTTCCAGTCTCCCATTTTTCAATTCTTTGCATGGAATGAACGATCAGCAAACCACTTGCTCCGCCTGTGTGACTGGATGTTGTTGAATCAATAGGCACGGTTCCAGAAGTTTGTCTTCACAGGAAGCTAATCCATATTGCTTCAAGTGTTGCAGTTGGTTTCTCAGTTGCTTTCTGAACTCTTTTAGTCATTGACTTAGAGGCTCAACACTTCCCCCTCCCTCCACCCCCCCACAAGCTTTAGAGGCATTTGAGAGCTGTCTTTGTAAACTCGGTGATTGCTTCTCGGAAGAATGTGGCAATTGTTTCTTTGCTCAGATAAGCCGCTAAGAATGACTCCTTCAAGGGAGGTAACCAGAAAGTGGTGTTAATTTGAGAGCCAAATTCTGCTCTCTACTTGAGAGCGAAAACCTTTCTAGTGATCAACAGTGTTGCTTTGTTCCACACTGTCTGAGCTGTCATCTTAATTTCAGTAATCTGAGGAAAGTATTTATCTCTGAGAGATTTTACAACAAGCTTTAGAATTTATATTTAACTACTCAATATAAAATCTCTTACTTGATGGGACTTCTAGTATGAGGGTGTTTTTCTTGTCTCAGTGCTGGTGATCTGGCTAAATGAAATTTGTTTGGAGTTTTGGCAGATTCAGTGGTGGTGGTTTTTCAGTCAAAGTAGTGTTAAAAGTGGGCCAGAAACCCAAGGATTTGGGTTTGTAGAATCACTGGGTTGGTAGAATCACTGGGCATCAACAAGGGAGTTTTTTCTTTTGTTCATTTATTGAACAAAAGAGCTGAAAACTATTGCTTAGGACTCTATTAATCTTCATGTTTAGGTTGTGAACTGAAACATTCTTCCCTTGTAAGACTGAATTCTGTCCTCTCGCCCACATAGTTGATTCGGTTGTACTGTTTCTAGTGGAGGACATCATTCAACCCGAGGGAGTAGCTTTGGGAGAGGACCTGCTGCCAATGTGGGGGAAAAGAAAACCAGCATAACACTAAAACCACTTGGTTATTATTATTATTATTATTATTATTATTATTATTATTATTACGGAGAAACTGGGAGAAGCTATACTTCATGGCTTTAGCAGATGCATTTTTAATTTGTTATTCCCACCAAATACTTTAAGTTTGCTCTTTTCTTTTTGCCTGTCTTCCTTGTGGCCTTTCTGGTCTTGAGCTGACCTTTACAATTCTTTGCTGCTATGGTTCTTGTCAAAGAGTCAGTGACTTGGCAGCTCTACCCTTTTGACTGATCCACTCTGTTCTCTCCAGGCAGTGTAAGGACTTAAAAATAAATAATAATAATTTAAAAATAATAATAATAGAAAGTGTCTTCCACAACTTAGTTTTATAGGAATCACTAGAGGAAGGGAATAACATAAGTAAAATAGAGGACTTCTGACAGGAGGAAGTGCTTGCCTGAAAAAGAAAGTTAAGCTTTGTAGTTACTAACTTCAGTGTTCTATCTTGGAAAATAGTTCTGCAATGTGTTTGAGCCACTTGGCCTGGAAATGTAGGGAAATGCTGTGAAGGAACGACCATGCACTGGCATGACTAAAGTCATGGATAGTCTGGCACCCTTTCTGACCGATGATAGTGATAGATATTATGTAAAGATCTGCAGTTCTATAGCCACCAAAAATGAGAGGGAATGAGGGAGGATTGCTGATGTGTGCAGATACTTGTTGGGGGTGGGGAGGGGGAGTGTGTAGGCAAAGAGCTAGAGGGAGTACATCTGTTCGTGGTAATGGATTCTTCAAATCTTCTTGACTGAGCAGTAGGAATGGCACTTGCGTTCTTACTTGTCCTGGCAGTCTGTCATGTATGGACTTCATGTTATGGAAAATGCAGAAGCATCGTGACAAATAGTGACTCTCAATGATCCTGTTCACCAGGACCTTCCTTGTTGGTTCACAATGTCCTGAATTTGTGTGTGCTGCTTCCAGGGGAGTTGACTGAAATTCCCTGAATTGCCTAAAATCAGTTTTATTTGTGGCCGTAATTATTTGTTTTTTCCTTTCTTAATGATTCTTAATGTTACCTATTTGGATACTGTGAATGTTAATGACTTCGAAGACTTCTTCTGTAGTCTCAAGATTTTTTGTTGGTGGTACTAAGTGTTGTCTGTCTGCACTTGTGCACTTATCACTCAGCATTGCTGAGTGAGAAAAGTTGCTTCCACCTTCTCAATGCTCTGTCCCCTGCAGTTTTTACTCAGTTGAAATTGTTTTCCACAAAACTACTTCCCAAATCCATGCTCCAACTGTATTCTTTTTAAATTGGTAGGTTGCTTTTCATCTTCCATGTTTGTAAATCTATAATGAGTGGCATCCACTTTAAATGTTAATTTCTGCTTATCAGATATTTTACATGAATGTAGAACTGAATGAGTGTAGCAGTAGCAAGAATAAGGAAGAGGAAGCGATGGCTGCATGAGTAACTTGTCCCCTTCACCTTCCAGTACTAATTGTTTCTGCCCTCCATTCCTTCTGTACCCCTGCTACCAGAAATTCTCTTTTTGCAGTGAGCTGTGGTAGATAAAAAGGAGAAAGAAGTAGTGGGGAAAGAATAGAGAACTGTGTTGATCCTGCTTGTATAGCTAGCAAGACGTCTGATGATTTTAAAAAAAAAAAAAAAAAAAGCCTGTTCATGATCAGTCATTGTTACTGTCCTGCATATGCTTAATGAAGGCATCACAGATAAGTTTGAAGTCTGCCATCTGGTCTGACTCAGTACAGCATCCCTCACAACCTCCCTCCGAACATGATATAGTTCTTTGTAACCCAATTGGCATAACTAGAGATCCTGACTTGCACACAAAGATAACTTCTAATTTGATGTAATAATAATTTAGCTGATTGTACATTTATATAAATCATAGAATCATCAAGGTTGGAAAAGACCTCCAAGATCATCCAGTCCAATCATCCACCTATCACAGTATTTCCCATATAGAATCACAGAATCACCAAGGTTGGAGAAGACCATAATCTGTATTGGCCAGAAACTCCTGTGGGATAAAGTAGAAAGTTTGGAATGGATATAAGGAAAAACAAAGTTTGTGTTTCAGAGCCATTTTGCCTTGATTCTCATATGGGTTATTTTAGTTTCCACACAAAGGAGTACAGAAGCTTTTCTAACCATAACAGAGTATTGTGGGCCATGTTTTCTGTGTGATCACTAAAAGTGTTGTATTGCACAGAAATGTGGCTAAAATTGTTTGGATTTTTTGTTTGTCAAATTAAAATAAGTGAAAGAATAATAAGGATATAAGCATTATCTTTGTATTGGTAGGTCTTGATTGTGTGATCGGCGTATCAGGCTGATTTCATGATTTCATCAGGCTGCAAATTTAGAACTTGTGCAATGTTTTCCATGTAGGAGGAGACTCATGAAATTGCAGCAGGAAGCTGGTTAGTGTAAAAGGAGGAAGAATATATTTACCTTCTGAGATTTCTAGTCAAATTTCCCTGACACTGATGA